CTCTCCCTCTCCCCCCCCCCTTTTCCCTCTCTCCCTCTCCCTCCCTTCCTTCCACTCTATCTAAAAAATCAGTGGAAAAGTACCCTTGGGTAAGGATTAACCAAAATAAACAAACAAATAAAAAAGTAGGCATGAAAGTAATACCGGTTGTGGTCAGAGTCTAATGAGACAGTGTAAGTGAAAGCCCGTGGAAAACTTAAAAAATCCGCACACCATGCAGCTTCTCCTCCCCGGGTATTAATTTTGAGGATGATATTACAAATAGTGAACTCTGCTCATGACCATATCTTCGGTATAAAAGATTATTATTCGTGAACCACACTTCTCTGTTGTTCAGGATACGAAAATTAACAAAACCAAAACACCAAGTCTTTGTGGGTGTTGAACTTGATGTCCAGCATCTGCTTAAGGTATTCTGCCTACATTTAAGGTATTCTGCCACTAGGGGGTGGTGGTGTCTAGGCCACTGAGCTTCTAGAGTCCATACCCTAAGAACCATTTCAAATATCCTTCCTTTTTATACATTGAGAGGCCTCACCAAAGGACCCAAAGAGCCTCAGTTTCCTTATCTGTAAAATGGCAATAAGGGTACAAATTGAGTTTATGTTAAATCCTCCTGTGCACAGTGAGACCCTCAGTAAATGTTTGCTTCTTTCCAAAGTGATTAAGAGCATAACTTTGGAATCAGAGTGTTGGGTTTGAATCCCAGCTCCACAGCTTATCGGCTGTGTGACTTGAGGCAAATGACCTAACCTCTTTGGGCCTTCGTTGCCCTGTCTGTCAGTGGGGCTAGTAATCATACTATTGTTTATATGTGTAAAGGGCTTAGAAAAGGCCTGCTCGAGAAAAGTGCTCTGAGTTTGCCACTGGCTGTGTATGTCCTGGGGTGAACTCTAATTTTGGGCACCTCCCAAGTTGAGGGCCTTGTCAAGATGATATGTCTTCAGGGTGTTTTTAATCCCCTTTGGAAGGAATCATGGACAGAGAAAGCCACAATTCCAAGACTCCCGACACCCTAATCTTGGTCCCGGGATTCAGGCTACAGCAGACAACAACCTCTGTCCACCAGGCAAGTGATGGGAACCAATTTGCAAGTGTGAACGCAGCTGGTGGGAAGACCAGGAGAGGGCAGAGGGGCTGTGAGGCTGTTTTAATAGTGCTTTTTGTCCCTTGGGGGGTCCAGCTCCCCTCCTGCATGCTGCTGGGGGGCAGCTCAGAAAAGAAAACCTGGGGGTGGGGGGGCTGTGACTGCCTGGCTCTGTCCTGCCCCAGCTCCATGCAGGTTGTTGGGGGGGGGGGGGCATAGGAATCTGGTGACCACAGCACCTGACTAGAAGTCAGATCTGTTTTTAGCCCGGCTCTGTCACTGATGTGCCGTGTGACCTTCAACAAGTCACTTTTCCTCTCTGAGCTTCAGATTCCTGCGCGGCCCAAATTAGGGCACACTTCTTGCTTTCCTTTCCAACCAGAGATATGGTGAGGCTAGAGAGACTCCTCAAAACCTCACCTCCTCCTTGAAGCCTTCCACCTTGGATGGAACAAAAGGAACTCCAAAGCCTCCCCACCTCCTTCCACCTCTCCCAGGCTAAACATGCGACAAGAATCACCAATCCATTATTCGTCATTGATGGATTGATTCCACGCACTCGTTCAGCGCTGGTTTGCCCTGCTGACTGCATGTCCTTTCTGCCTTGTCTGCATCTGAAACTCCTCCGGGGAGGGCTGCACCTGCCTCCTTGCTCCGCGTGGCACGAAGGGTCTAGCAGAGGCTTCTGATGGGAAGGTGGCTTGGGGCTCTGGGTAGGAAGGAAGATCCCATGGAATCCCAGATGAGTCAGAACTTAGTAGGACAGAGAAAAGTGAGCTGTTGGGGAGATAAGAGACGTGAAAAGCACTCTGAACAGTGGAAAATGCTCTGCAAATGAGAGAAAGTCTTATTCTTTGGACAGGGGCACACAACAATAAAAGAGGGAGGGGGTAGTTTAGCTTCATTGAGCAGAAGTTTTGCAGCAATCAGAAAATCTAGAAGGAAGCTAGTTCAGTGGTGGGAAGCATGGAAGTTGTGTGTCAATTTCCAAAATAACATTTAATTTTGGATGAGGTGGTGTGTGTACTTTCCACTGTGATTTTTTTTTTCTTCTGGGTTTGGGACTGCTAAGGTCTTAATTCAACTCCAGGCAACCTCAACTCTAGATGTAGTAAACCCAGCTTGTCTGCTCTCTCACCTCCTCTCCCTGCCACCGACCCTCCGACCCTCCGACCCTCCGTCTATCATCCGCCTCTTCAGGTCTGCCGGTAATTACCCTCCCACAACTGCCCAGTGCTTCCGGTTTCTGCCAACCTCTAGCCTGCGGCCTCTGCCCTCTGCCATTGTGACCATCCCCTGTGAATGTGTGTGCCTATCTCACTCTTGCCGTCCTCCACCAAATGCCTGGCTGCCAAGGAACACCGGGTGTCCCCTCTGTCAGTGTCCTGTGCTCTGGACTTCACTGCCTTCTGAAAAGTTACTAGTCCTGACTCCATTCCATTTGCACCAGAGCCCCAGGACACACTGAGCTGAGCTCATGTAGTAGGGGAGGGCCGAAGAGTCTAGCCTACCCATGCTAGGCTGCACTTGAAGAGCCTCTTGGGGAACTAGTCCCTTCACTTTAAGAAAGTTCTGTCTAGCCCTGGCCGGTTTGGCTCAGCGGTTAGAGCATCGGCCTGCGGTCCTGAGAGACCCGGGTTCGGTTTCCGCTAAGGGCGCGTACCTCGATTGCAGTTTGTCCCCGGCCCTGGTAGGTTGTGTGGGTGGCAGCCACTCGATGTGTCCCTTTCACATCGATGTTTCTCTCTCTCTCTCTGTTCCTCTCTCTCCCTCCCACTCTACCTGAACAAAAAATGGAAAAATGTCCTCAGGTGAAGATAAAAAAGAAAGAAAGAAAGTTCTATCTAAAGGGGGGATTTCACAGAGATTTTGGGTGCATGTAGTTAATGCTAATAATAGATACTATTTATTGTTTACTTATTAGGTTCTAGGAACTTGGGTAGGTGCCTTATATTCTTTGTGTAATTCCAACAACCCTGTGGGCCAAGTGTAATTGTCATAGTAATAAACACAACAAAATTAACTAAGCACTTATGTGCTAAGCACTTCACCTAGATTATCTTGTGTAATGCTCCCACAACCTGTTGCCATATCCATTTTCCCAACAAGGGAACCAAGGCACACAGATCAATTAAGAAACTTGTCACACAGCTATTAAGATAAGGAGACTGAACCCCAAAGGGATTAAGCAGCACACCCATTTTACCCAGCAAACTAGCAACTGAGTGAAGTCTATGTCTCATTCTCTCCCCCCGCCTGCCCCAGGCTCATGATGCCTTCTCCTGGGAGCCATGGTAAATTTCAGGTTGAAGTGAGAGCAGTTGGGACCAGAAACTTCTGAGGTGGGGGTGGAGTTGGGACTTCGTCAGCTCCAGACACTAGCATACCCCTTACACGAAGGGTGTCTAGAAATGCTCCAGCACCCCAGCCACCTGCCAAAGGTCCCCTGGCTTTGCCGGCCTCTTCCAGTATTCCTGCCCTGCCTCCTGCTTCATGTGGCTCACCGGAATCCCAATATCGGTCAGCACCCCATTGGAATGCTGCCTCCTCCAGAAAGCCTTCCTGGAGGGCCCTAAACCAGAACCCTCTCACCTTCTCCAGAAAGTTGTCCACTCCCTTGGCTGTCTTGTTCATTCTTTGGGCAGGTACTTCCACCTGGCCTCCCTAACCAGGTGTTGGGTTTCTCTAGGCTCTAACACCTAACATGCTAGTGCTTAGAGAATTCTTATTGAATGAATAAATACTGCACATGGGCATGCTCCTGGGCCACTCAGTGCCTTTGGTGAGGGGAGATGGAGAGGAAGGCAAGAAATATAAATGTGTGATCAGCCCAGGTGCAAACACTGGGGGAGGGGAGGTCTGTGGCGCACTAAGTCTGCATGCCTACCTGAGGGCTTCTGGTCACACGCAGCCATTCCCACTCCCCCAAAGTAGCTGGGGCCTAATTTCACCCTAAACACTCTTCTTTCCCTAGCTTTATTTTTCTACTTCATGTATCCCACTTTAAAATATATTCTATTTATTCTATTTAACATCTGTCTTCTGTCACAAAGGTGAACTACCTGAGGGTAGAGACTTGGTTTGTTTGTACTCTGCTGCAGTCCAGTGCCTGGTACACACTAGGCCTTCAATAGACAGATGCTGAATGAATTATCAGCCCTTGCAGGTCTCTGCAGTAGTGAAGAGAGTTGCCCCAGACCCCCTGCAGTACCCAGGCTCCCGGAGGCATTCAGGGTTCAAGCCAGGAAGAGTGAAGGCCGTTGAGGGTCACAGAGAGCCCCAAGAAGATGGTCTGGAGTCTGCCTTGGTGACAGCAGGTCCAGCTGGAACTAGGGCAGGAGGGTTAGTGACTGCCCCATAGGGTCAACGGGGGCACTTTCTGGGCGAAGCTGATGGGGGAGGGTTATGGGTGAGATGATGAGGGCGAAGGGGCCCTCACTCCCCCCCAGCGCACACACAACCCTCCACCCGCCAGCGCGTACCAGAAGACGCAGGATTAGGAGAAACCAGAAACCTACAGACAGGGCCGGAGGCAAGTCCTAGGAGGTGGGGAAAGGGCAGAGAGGGGAGGGGAGCGACACCCCTGGATGCACTGCGCGCCTGCAGGAGGGGCGCAGAGGGGCGAGCAAGGGAGCTGCTCCCAGCACCCGGCGCCACGGAGCCCCTCTGTCCCGGCTGGGAGCACCCCCTGAAGGAGGGTGCAGGCCGGAGCTGGGGGCTCCCCGGGGACCCACTAAGCCGGTGGCTGCCTCCTCAGCATCCGCGGCCCTTCCACCTGCGCAGGCACCGTGCCGCCCCGCGCGCCTGCCATTGGCTCGCTAAAAATGCCTCTCTAATCTGCGCGCATCTGTGCACGCCTCCTCCCTCCCCCGCACCCCTCCCGGGCTCTGACCTTCCTCTCCCGCAGCCGGGCCAGATCCCGGAGCGGCGGCAGCGCAGCCTCTTCCCCCGGGAAGTCGTCCGGGCTTGAGGCCGGGCCCCAGACGCCCCGTTAGGCGCCGCGGTGCTGCCGTTGGTGCTGGGCACTGCCACCCCCAGGTAAGGGGCTGGCCCAGGGATAGAAGGTGGGGAGGGAGGGGGTCCAGTTAGGGAGTGCGTGCTGGCGGTGGGCGCAGAGCCGGGTGTCTTCCGGGGTGCGGGGTGGGGGGGGGATTGGGCAGTTATCTGGAGAGAAGTGAGCGAGTGAGCGCAGGGTGGGGGTGCTTTGCGAGCGCTGGGTTCCCGAACATCCCCCAGCAGTGCCAGGATGCCTCTGCTGCGGGCTCCCTGGGAGAAGGAGCTGGCGGTGGAGGCCTTTACCCACGGGAGAACGCAGGAAGTAGGTTCCTCGGTAATCTGGGACCCAGGGCCCTGGAGTCCGAGTCTCTGGCCCTGGGGCATTCAGGTACCAGTGGGGTGGGTGGGCTGGTGCCAGCTTGGTGCTGAGGCTGTTTATGGACCAGAGTGGGCTGGGGAGAAGCACAGCAGCTGATGCGCCCTATGCCCTGTCTGGCCTAGAATGGAAGATATTTTCTTCTGCCTCTGCCCCTGCCCCCACAGCTGGGATGGGAGTGGGGAGAGGAGAAGGAGGTGACGCTAAATGGCCAGCAGATCCAGCAGAAGCCATGGTCAGTCTGGCACTGCCCTCCTTCCCAGGCCATTTGCTGCCTATTGGGACCCCCCCCACCACCACCACCACCTTATTTTTGCATTGCAGGAGGCCATGAAACATTAAAAGGTCATCAGGGTGTGGGGGACACAGTGGCAAACCCCAGGGCTTGGCCAGAACCAGCTTCAAGCCCCGGCTGCCCCCACCCCCACTGCCTTGCTCTGCACCCCACGTGCAGTGACACATGTGGCCGCTTTTCTCGGGGCATAACCATAAATAACCCACACTGGCTCTGGCACAGCAGGTGCAAACAGAGCTGTCAGGCTGTCAGTGATTTTAGAGGTTCTGTTCCTCACCTACCTGGCCTCCCAGTCACATGTCCAAACACCACTCATAAGCCACCCCCTCCAAGCAGCTTCCTGATACCCCAGGTGAGATCTTGCCCCTGCCCTGCGTCTCTGACGTAGTCTGCCTTGTGGTTTGGCTACTTATGTCTTGTCTGTTGCTCTCTAAACCTTCAGGGTAGGAACCTGTCTGATTCATCTCTGTCATTGACCCTGCACCTAACCAGGGTCTGGCACCAACTAAATGTTTGTGAAATAAGTGAATGAATGAACTTGAACTCTGGAAAATAGCTGGCAACCTGAAGGGGGGGGGGGGTGATAAGCTCCCTCTTGGGTTTTCCCTCCATCCCCCAGGGCCAAAGAGCCACCGAAAACAGTCATGTTTAGGCCCTTCCTGGACCTGGAGCTAGTGGGCAGCTGTGGCATTTGGAGATAAACGCTGCAGTCTCCAGAGGGCCTCTTTGGGACCCTGTACGCTGGCCTAGTCCAGGCTTGGTGGAAGGCCGTGGGTGAAGGCCTGGCTTTCCTCAGCCCCTGGGTTGGCACTTTCTTCTTGGGGTGCTCAGCTCAGACCAGAGATCTTTGTCTCTCTGTCCCAGCCCTTGGGGAAGTCCTGGTCAGCATTAGGGAGTCTTGGAAACCCTAAGCCAGCCATCCTCAGCCTCTGGGGTCCTCAACATGAGCTCTGATTAAAGGTCATGACTCCACTGTGTGCAGGAACACACCTAGGACAGAAGAGGTTGTCACCAAGGGTTCTCACGTCTGTGACAGGCGTGGGCATTTGCAGAGCTTTCCCCAGTCCTTGTTGCTCCTTTGACAGCCATGCTAAGACATCTACAAGCTGTTCTTGTCCTGTCTTAAAGAGGGGAAAACTGAGGCCCAGAGGTCAGCAGCAGAGTCAGGGTGACACCTAGTTCCTGCCTCAAACGAGCTGGGTGAGGCCCCAGACCCAGGCCAGAGTGTCTGCTTGTCCTAGAGCCCAGAGGCTCCTCCTCCCGGGCGTTGTCCTGGCCCTAGCAATGGAGAGAGTGAGAACGGGGTGCTTCAGGGGTACGGGGAGGCAGGTGGAGGATATTTTGGTTAGAGTCTGCAAGTGGTCGGCCCTGGGGACCTTGCGGGGAGGGTATAGTGGTAACAGTAAAAACTAACAGTGTACAGCATTTGCCATGTGCCGGGGCCTGTCCCAAGTATTTTTAACTCATCAATCTCCACAGTAGCCCAGTGATATAGTTACTATTATTATACCCACGTTACAAATGAGACTGAAGCACAGAGAAGTTATCTGTTCAGGGTCACACAGTTTGAAAGTGGAGGAGTAAGGATTTGAACCTGGGCTCCAGAGTCCATGCTCTTAACTTGTATTCCCTATTGCAAGATCAAGAGGGCTGTGGACCTAGCTGCTGAGATGTGGTCTGTCTGTGGACATACAGGCCTCAGGTGCTCCATGGCTAAAGTCCAGGTACGGTAGGTAGGATGTGCATGATTAAGTGTGACTGTGACAGTTGTGGATGAATAATAACACCCTTATCAGCGGCTCTCATTGGGCAGGAGAGCAATCTTTGTAAGATACATATCTGAGTCTGTCACTCCCCTGCTCTGCATTCTTCAGTAGCTCCCCATTGCCTTGAGGACAAAGTACAGTCTCTTAATGTGGCTCTGCCTGGGCTTTCTCTGCTTCCTCACCCTCCCTCTGTCCTCCAGCTGCTCTAAACTTTTCAGTTCCTCAAATAAGTCATTCTTCCCTCACCTGCAGGCCTTTGCGCAGGCTGCTCCCCTGCTTGAGCACTCTCCCCCCTCCCTGCACACTCCTCCTCGCCCCCTGGGGCCCACTGAGTCTTCTCTTCCTCCCAGAAGCTTGGGCTTGGGCTGGGAGCCTCCCTCCTCGCACCCTGCTCCCCTCCCCTCACACAGTATCCTCTGGGGCTTTTGATTGTTGTCCCCAACCCCCCAGGCTGTAAAGTTCTTGGGGGCAAGGTCTGTGTTGCGTTGGCAGCATCACAGTGCCAGGCACCGAGTATCCCGGCTCGTGCAGGAGCGAGTGCGTGGTCCCATCCATCCTTCTCTCCTCCCAGTCTCGGGGCTCACACAGCATTTCTTCTCCCAGCAGGAGATGAGGAACTGGTCATACATTTGCATAGAACCCCCCAGCGGGGACAAGCTGGTGGCAGCAGGCTTCGTGGAGAAGTGAAAGTGCCTGTGGCCCACAGGACAGGGGAGAGCGTTTGGGGTGGGGGAGTTCACTGATTTGGGGGAGCCCTCCCTGGGGAAGCAGGTGGGAGCAATGAGGGAGGGGAGGGGTGCCAGGTGGATGAGGGATGCTTGCTTTGGTTTTAGATTTTTCTTAAAGAAAAGCTTTTATTATTTTTTCTTATTTCCAAAGTGATACATGTTTGTTGTGGAAATTTTAGAATGTACTGGAAAGCCAAACAAAGAAAACCCATTAACAGCACCAGACCCACCCACTGTGGGCACTTTGCGGCTGGTTTCCAGCCAGTGGGGACCCGTGGGGCAGGCCAAGGGTCCCAGGAAGCAGATGTGGGCATCAGTGTGTGGGGGGGAGGGGAGTCCCCCTCAAGCCTCACCTGTGGACAGCAGAGGAAGGAAGCAGGCAGGAAGCAAGTAGACCTCAGAAGCTGGCCAGCGGGAAACCTCAGGGACCCACAGGGTGCTCTGGAGCTAGGAGGCCCTTAGAGAGGAACGTGCTTTGGATGGTGAGTTTTTTAAAATATATTTTTATTGATTTTTTAGAGAGAGGAAGGGAGAGGGAGAGAGAGAGATAGAAACATCCATTGGCTTCCTCCTGCACACCCCCAGGGCATGTGCCCTGACTGGAATTGAACTGGCCACCTTTTGGTGCACAGGAGGATGCCCAACCAACTGAGCCCCTCGGGCCGGGCAGGACTTTGGACCTCAGCGTCCATCCGACACTGGATGCCCTTGGCCAGTGGCTCGCAGCAGCGGCACCAGGAAAGGGCTGCCCGCTGAGGGTCGTGTGCTCGCAGCACCCCCAGCAGCTGGGGCAACAGATAGTGTTCACCACCTAAAGGCGACATACTTGTACTAGAACTTCACTTGCTGCTTCTCTGAGAGCCAAACTCAACTAGGTGTCCTGCATCTCTGTTTGCCAAATCTGGCCCCTAGACAGGGATGGGGAGGAGGAGGGGGGAGGGAGGGAGAGTCCTAATTTACTTTCCTTTTGTATCAGGGAGGGGCCAATGGATGCTTGTTTGAATTAGACAGTTTAAAAAATGTCCATTTTTAGAAACTAATGACATGTTTCAACTTTTGCATCTGTAACTTTTTTGTCAACTGTCTAGAGGTAGCTCCCCGTTTGTGGCTTTTGGTTCCCTAGTGCTGTTCAGAAATAACAAAATCATACATCCTCTTATTTATTCTGGAGGGACAAAGGGAGATTTGATGATCAAGGGTGGAGTCACTAAATAAGGTTAATCCGCTCGAGATAAAAGTCATCGTCATAATACAGCCCGGTGTGGCCCAGGTATGGGAGACTGGAGCCCCAGGCCGGCTCCACCTTTCTGACAGTAGCCCTTGAAGTATTCCGGGGGTTTCTCCCACAGGCACCCTCTTAGTAGGGGGCTAAGAGACCTCGGGGAGCGTCAGTGAGGCCAAGCTAAATGTCCAGCAGGAGGCCTGTGACATGATCAGGCCCCCTCCAGGCCCTGTGACTTCAGGCAGTGGTTCATTCTTTCATTCGGTCACTGAGAGTCCGTGCAGCAGGCCCCGCTTCAGGTGACAGAGCTCACTGCCGGGGGGAAAGACAGCACATCGTCTGGTTAAAGCTTGTGAACAGGATGTGCAATGATCCCATGCAAAGCCGCACGCGTGTCTCTGTGTTCGTACTGCATAAAAATGAGCAGAGGGCTGCAGACCCGACGGCCACCGGAGCCTGCCTCTGGGGCAGGTACTAGGAGGCCAAGTGCAGGAAGGGGCGGGGTTTCCTCTGTTCCAGCATCCTGTGCTGTTGGCACTTTATACAACAAACATCATTCCTCATGAAAACATGATTAAAGTTATATTGATAATACCTGAGATTTTTCTTAGAAATCTTTTTTAAAAAAGCATTTAAATTGCTTTCCTCTAATCTG